ACGAGATCTTTAACTTCTTCACCATGAAAAGCTGAATGGCTTGTTTAAATTTTGCAGGTATGAGCGAAAAGAAGATTATTACAGGTAGATCTAGCAGTACGGATTTGCGGAATATGGAGATCGGTAGATAAAGAGGGATTTGATGGGCGGAATTTTGCAGCTGGTTTCTAGGTCTTAGAAAAGTTTTGTTTGTGCGTTTGGAAAATACAGCCCATAGTTTTCATGCTGGTTTGGGTTTCGGTCTGGGGTTTGTTACCTCAATTATATTTTTAATATAACCATTTTCTTTTCACATTTCCCCACATTTGTCTCCTAACCGTTTGAGTAAAATGCATCAAACCCCTCTTGTGTTTTAATTAATCATGCCCAGAACCCCCTTTATGAATAAATTTAACGATTTGAAAATCACTTTTCATAATATTTTGATTGAAGATGCAAATAAATATGTCAAAATCTCTGAATCATACAAAAATGTTAATCATTTTTCTTTTATTTGATAATTGAATTTGTTCACATAAGGGATTTGGTGCATAATTAATTAAAACACAGGGAGGTTTGACGCATTTTTTAAATCACAGGGGCTAATGCGCCGAATTTCCAAATCACAGGGGGGTTTGGTGCATTAAACCCTAACAGTTTTGACAATCATAAAAAGAACTAATTTTGTATTTTAATGTTTGCTAAACTTTTCTTTTTTGGATGTATTTAAAAGTTTGTTACACTTTATCTTTTTGATAAGTTTTTCTTTGAAAATACTCAATTATCCTTATTTTTTCTACCTTTTATCTTCTCTTTCATATTTTTCACTTTCTCTGCAACTTTTTCTGCACTATTCATTACTCCTAATATTTAACCTTTAAATAATGTGTCCAAATCTATTGTGGTAAACGTTAAAATACCTAGGGAGTATATAACAAAACTAAAATTTGTTTATAAAAATGTGACATCCTAAAGCAATAATAAATTTAGTCATAATAAATTATGTTCAACTTTTATAATTAAGTATCTCATAGCCACTTAATTATGAGACTATATTATCCTTTCACAAAAAATTATGAGAATATATTATAGTAACTATTATGCTCCAATATAAATTTCATTTCAGTAATATATTTAAAAGATTCTCTTATAAAAAGGGTTAATTTGAGTTTGCACTCCATTTTGTTGTCCAAATTGGACTTTGCACCCCGTTTATAAAAAACTTTGTATTTGCACCCCCAACCCCGTATGAAAAGACAAAATGCCTCCCGATCAAGAATATATTGAAGGCCAACATAAATGTTAATGGAGGGGCATTTTTGTCTTTTCATATGGGGTTGGGGGTGCAAATACAAAAGTTTTTAAAAATGAGGTGCAAAGTCCAATTTGAACAATAAAATGGGGTGCAAAGTCAAATTACCCCTATAAAAAATAATAATTTGAATTGCAAATTTCAAAAATTAATATAATTGAAATTTTGACACGAATATGACTTCATTTGTCCTATAAAACTTGGTCAATTTGTTTTTTCTTGGTCATCTTGTAAAGTTTGAATTGTGTTTTTTATTAGTATTACATCCGTCTCACTAACATTAGGACAAAAGATGGTGTCACGACTATTAAGAAAAGTGAGTATATGTGGTTGATATTGAATTGATAAAGTAAGAATAGAGCAAAAATGATTTAGAACCGTACAAACTTAATTAAATTTGGTATGAGACATTTTTAGTAGGATTTTCTCTAAAATGTAAAATGAGACAATCTTAGCGGAACAGAGGAAGTATAATATTATGAAAGGTTTAAATTTTATACTTTTATGAAAATACTTTTAACAATGAACATTTTCATATAATTTTTATTATAAATAATTTCCAATAAAAGTATATAGACGGTAAAAGTTTTGAAGATAACAAAGTTTTTTTTGGGATGGAGGTAGTGATAAACATTGAATATTGATTTTTATTATTATATTTATGTGAAACTTATAAGTTTCATACTTTTCTATAGTGTGTTTAAAACAGAACTTTTTCATTTAATTTTAATATTTTAAATAATTTTACACTAAAAAAATGTCATTGATCAAACATGATCATCATTGACCAAGAAAAGTCAATAATCAAGTTTTATGGGACATACGAAATACAAAAAATTAGATAATTAATTAAAAAGAGACATTGTTTTGGATTTTGAAATATGTGAATAAACTTGTATTAAATCTAGAAACTCATTAATTTATATTATTACCTTATCCTCCTAATACCTAGTGACACCATCTCGGATTGACCTAACGTAGACACCCCATTAACTCAAATGTCCAGTGACCTATCACCTCAGTCAGGGGCGGAACTACTGCTAAGGGTAAGGGGGCCATTGCCCCCCCCCCACCCCCCACCAATTTTTTTTTAATAAAATACTACTATTACAATTTTTTGCCCCCCCCCCCCCCCCCCAAATATAATAATGCAGCCCAGCTGGGATGCAAACCCAACTCCGTAAGATATTGCTCCATATTAGGCATTTAGGCCCAACCGCCCAATTAGAATTAGAGCCCGTTTGGAGAACTCTGTTTTCGGCTTATCAGGCTTATCAGCCAGCTTTTTCACCAAACACGTAACTTTTACTTTCGCGCGCTGAATTGTGTAATAAGCCGAAAAAGTAAGGTTGGAGTTACTTTTCTGGCTGTATTGGCTGAAGTTACTGTAGAGGACCATTTTAGCTATTTTTACATATAATTTTTTCTTTAATTTATTAATAAAATATATTTTTAAAATATTTTTTTCTTAAATCAGCAGAATCAGCCAAAACAGCCACTCCAGCCAGAATATCATAAATTTCAGCAGAATCAGCCAAAACAGCCAATTTTGGTGCTACCAAACGGGCTCTTAGAATTTTGGGCGTAGGGGCTGACCTAACATTTGAACGGGACCGGGGTCGTCTGGGGAAGTCGGGACTTTGGAGAACGCCGCAGACCGCCTTGCTCATCTGAAGCTTGGAGAAATCTGGGCGCTGCACTAGTGGGCGGCCAGCGGCCTTGCTCATCTCAAGTTTGCAAACTCCGGTTCGAATCTGTTCATGTATTTTACTCAATTTTGGAATAATATATTTTCATTTGTTTTATATTACGGAGTGTCATTTATTAACAAATACCAATTCAGTGATTCACCGTACTCTAATCCGTGAATTGCATAAACAAAATTGACTAGGTTTCAAGCAGTAGAGGTTTACTCAATAAATCTCAATTACTCTGGATTTTTTTTCTTCTTCATAAATTTAAATTCCTACCAACGAGTTTTCTCCTATAGTTTAGCCAAGTATAAAATAAGTATATGTGAGCTCATTTATTCACTACTCTTCATCTCATACGAGTATATCAGTATATGATTTTGCATTTTTGCTCTCATTTGATCCAGTAATTGGTTAATTTTGTTTATAAGTTATCAATTAATTTAATAAGTAATGAAATGAATAAAAAATAATAACTAGCTCGACCTGTAGTGAAATTGAATTATTATTATTATTAATTAATAAGAATTTATTAATACTTACTTCGTATATTAGTTATATAAACTGTTAAAGATTGTGTATTTGTGTGTAGTTAACTAGTTTATATGCTAATACTTGTATTATATTCTCGCCCCCCTCAATGCAAAAGTCTGGCTCCGCCCCTGACCTCAGTCACTCGTTGCTACTTGCTACAGTGATCTTACCTTGACGCCCAAGCCAGTCAGTTGCCCTTGGGCATGGTGATCAGTGAGCCTCATCCCTGTTACTGACCCCACATCCCCCGTTAGTAACCCACCATCCTGACCTTGCTAATGCCCCCACCCACCACTTCACACTACTACCTCAAGCCCCTGCACCAACCTTCTGCCCCCAAATGTCCCTATCCTTACAAAAGAGACTTGTCGTGGTCGCTATCGAAAAAATTTGCCACCGCCATTGGAGGAAATTTGGAGGTCGTTGAAGAGATATCTTCTTGCCTTCGGCGAAGAAACCTCTCTTTTTCATCGAGTTAAAAACATAGACGCTACAATCCATCAAAATTCTACTGGCTCGGATCTTAAGTTGAATCGCCGCCGCCACCGAAGAGATCTCTTATTATCGCCGATGAAGAAACTCATGATGGAGGGGCCTCAGGCTGCAAGAGGGAGGTCAGAGATGCAGGAGGAAGAAGTTGTAGGTGAGAGGTTGGAGATGGGAGAGACAACATGAGAGACGAATTAAGGAGTGTTTTTTAAAATTTTTACCAGGAGTTTTTTTTCTTCGAATATATGTTGTGTACACGAAGCATGATTGATTTTTCTTATTCCAATTCTACTCAGTCGCTTTTTTCTCCAAAAAAAAATCATGCCCCATTTTTTCCATTCAAAAGATAATAGCATTATTTATATCATTATTCCATAAAGTTTACATGAAATGGTTTTTTTATATAAATTATTCAAAATACTTGGTTGTAGCCAACGACAACTCTATCTCGATATACCACTGGTGAGAGAGATTGAGTAATTAATCACCAGCGGGTGGTATTTCAGAAGGCGATAAATGGCGATTTTAACTGCGACGGTAATCCTAGCTCTGATACCACTGTTAAGAGGGCATTCGGTCGTTGGAATTCGGCACAAGCTGCCCGTACATACGTCAGATTCCGTTCTCAGCTGTACACCTAGACAAAGGGAGCGACGGCCGTAGCTCTAACCTTGCCTCGCTCTCTGATCTCGCTCACTCCTTCATAGAGAAGAAGGTTGGGTTCTCTCGTAAATAAAAATGGCTTCATGGAGACGGAGGATACACTAGTAGAAAACTGGCTTATAGTGACACTTTGTCAGTGACACATTGTGATAAAGTGTCACTAATAGACGACATATTGTCTTTGAAATGCATATATGCCATATTTTTGTGATACAATGGTATCAGTGTCGTATACTGACACATGCAAAAATAGAAACGGGTCACATTTATAATTCTCATAAAAAATCTATTCTGTTCGGGGTCATTATTCTAAATAATGGAAATTGGTTTTCAGTACTTGGACCGAGAAGCTCTTCCTTCTCTCTTATTCATTCGCATCGTTCGTAATCCTAACGCCTGAGCGGAAGCGATGCTGCCAGCGGAGGGTCACGAACCGGCGACCCAAACTGAAGTGACCTACGCTAAGGTGGTAACAGACACCCTCCATGGCCGTCGCGTACATCTTCAACCATGTCTCTTCTCCGACATAAACTTTCTGGATCTCCCAGCCAAGATGCCAGGTAGATACAAAGGGTTCCCAACGGTTTCGTTCTCTGAAAACGATGTCCAGGTTATCTCTTCCAACTTCCAATTTCCTCTTGTTGGGACTTTCCCAAAACGAAGACCACACCTTTCTGCGATTCGAAAAGCTCTGGAAGCTATATTCCGTAGGGCTTCTTCAATCGAACAAAATTTTGGTTAATTTCCTTTCAAACTCCGATTTTCAGCGATTTTGGTTAAAGAAAATCTAGGATTTTTATGGGATTTTTACTGTTTGAGACGAATCTGATTTTCCTTTGTTTCTTCGTGTTTTTTGAGTCGGAAATCTCTCCTCAGTGCAATTCCGAGCTTAGGTTGTGTAATAATAAGAGAATATAGTGGAGCTTGACTATGGGGGCAGGATCTTGTTATTGTGTAAGTGTGTATGTACAAAGCGTTGGATTTCATGTAATTTTAACTATTTATATTTCTCTTTAGTTTGATTATTAATCTGGGTTGATATATTACCTTTACATGTGGACGTTTTTCGGCTAAGTACTTGCTGAAAGGAATTTCATATAACATTGGAAACCTTAAACGATTAATTCTCCTAGATGTCCATCACAACAGTGTGTAAAACAAGATTGATAGATTTTCAAATTGAGTTTTGTTTTCTTATTATTGCTATTCATATTAACCAGGTCTTTGTCTTGACTCGACTGATTTTGTATTTTATTATTATATAACTTGCTGGAATTTCATTGATAAAGGGATGTTCCACTCTTTTGGAGTTTTATCTAGGGTATATATGATATATCCTCAAAGTTTTATATAGTCCAAGACTTTCTCTAGTCTAGGTTTTTACTTTTGATCATTCCTCTCTAATAAGAACAATGCTTTTACTTCATTACAAACAGAAATAGGAGAATTGTCTCCATTGGGATCACTTGATCTGCACAGTAATGAGGTAGTTTTCAACATACTAAGAGATGCTCTCACTTTCATGGCTAAAGTTTAGAAGAAGAAAGAATTTTTATGATGGGGCGTGAAAAGTACTCACTGTAATGCTTGAATTTTATATTGTCAATAGAGAAACTAATCTGTTGCCTTCCAGTGTCACTATCATATGGTAAGTAATGTCTGGAATGAAAAGCATAACTTCTTGATTGTTTTTCTTCATGCATAAGCTAATATAGGCTAACATTATTTAGGACTAATGACAACTTTGTGAAAGCTTTTACGCGCTAGTAATTCGATGTGAACACTTCTGAGGTCTATTGTCATATTGCGTGCTATGTTGATTTTATTTTGTTTTACCTTCTATAGTAGATAATACTCATTTTGTTCAAGACGTAATTTCATTGTTCATCATTTTTCATCCCCAGATGAGTGAGTTGTGATGAATGTATTATAATGGAGCAGATGAAGAGAAAGAAGCAGAAATGCAGATTGTTTGCTATAGATGCAAAGCATGTTACTCATATAGTATGGGAAGGTGGTCAATCTAGTTATAATCCAAGTTGGGTAAATATATTTTTTTTATTTAAAAAATTAGTTACTTACTCATTGATAACATTATCTTATTGACCCAGAGTAAAAATTTTTGATGATCCAAAAATTCAAAAGAGTAGCAGGGGCTCAATCAGCTCCTTTAGGCCCCTCTGCCGTTCCAAGAGAAAGCACATAGATTAAAATATATCTCAAGGTATGCATTTCCTGCTTTATTTTTGCCTTATCAGAATTATAGGTCTTATTTTCCACCAAAAAATATTGACTAGATCCTAAACCTCTGCTTTAGGAACACTATTTTGATAGCTAAAATAAAATGCATTTAGTTACACTTACAGTTGCTTAGATATAAGGATATTCCTAAACCTCTGCTTTAGTTATGATATTCTAGCTTTATACTTTTACTTTTACAGGTATGGAGTATAACTTATTGTGTTTGATTAGTGTGCTGAGAATTGTTGTGCACTAATAGCTTTTGAGCTTGAAATCCCATTTTTTTTACAGGTATGGAGTATGGAGTATAACCTATTTTGATGGGAAGCCGTTGATAATGCTTGCAGCAACTTGGAAGTGGTTCCAACATGCCATCATGAGTGAGAGTGTCTGAAGCATGCTTCGTTGTGTGACCTTGAGGTTTCTGATCCTCAAAAAGTGGGTTGCAAATGGATCAAGCCATACGCTACAGCCTTCGTTAACTGACTACTTTCACTTAATACTTCCTAATAATCTATCCACTAACAATGAAATCATTTTTTTTCAAGCTGATGAATTGCTCAATTATTGGTAGATGGCAGTCATTCTTACATGTTCCGCCAGGCAGATAAGAAAATCCCCCTAATTAATATTCTTATCTGATCTTCTTGACTCAATTGCACTTTTATTTACATTGAACAAAATATATGTATAACATGGTAGAGTGGATGCCCATTGGAGCTGAAAGTGAACTCTGGTGCTGATTTTATGATACAATTTAATTAAGATGTTAAGTTGTGACATTCATTGTTAAAATTTGTTATTTGGGATCTTAATCTTTATTTACACTTCTTACATTATTACATGATGATGCTTTTTTGTTACATGTTGCTAATAACTTCTTTCATTTTGTATCCTACAATTTTTTTTCATTAGTTTGTATATTCTAGGTGTGCACACAGGCTTCATTGCTTCTTTCATTTTGCATCTTACTCATTATCAAGAGTGATTGACAAAGAAGCTTAGGGGGGATTTGGAAGAGCCATTGTAGAAGCTAGGTCTGCACACAGGCATGATGCATGGCAGTACTCCGTGAACACTATCGTGCAACAATATCTTTCTCAGCGTAAATAATTCTGCCACAGCATCAAAATTTCCTTATTCATGTATCCATCTCCCTATCAAAACTTGGTATATTCAGTGAGTTTTTTCTTCCTTGCCCAAGTTTGCTCACTAAAATCCATTTAATTACTTAGTAGATATTACTTAGTAATATCTACAGTAGATACTTTTGAATCTTAAGGATTTAACCAAATTCAGCAGATTTTTTTCATGCACATTTTATCAATGATTTTCTCCATTTGATTGCCAATCCTTAACATCATATTTAGACAACTCATACTTACATGTTACATAGTTTTTATGCAAAAATCAGAAGGTTATGACTGCAGATTTGTTCTTCCTTGCATAGAAATTATTTTCTTTCATTCTTTAACAGTTAAGGCATTCTTTTTGCATTTAGGAGATTGTTTCTGGAAAAGAACATCAGCTTATTGCTACCAAGTCTTTCATAATTTCATAGCAATCTTCCTGCTATCCTGCATATTTTAGTTGTTGTTCTATATTTCTACATGTTATTAATAGAGAGTATCTACATTTGCAGCTGCATCATCCTTTTTTCTATACAAACTATTTACACTAGCTTTGTGAATAACATCTTTGTAAATTCTCACAGCAAGAAAAAGTTATATCTGTAGTTCTCACATACAGTTAGTTCTTTTTTTTAATATTCAAACCTCTCTTTCTGAGTGTCTTAATGGAACTCGACTGCTCTTACGCCCTACAAATCTCCACTAGATACAACTGTGGATGGCTATTCTTAGGTCTGTAATTTTCGGCTACTATCACAATGTATCCCAGAGTTTAAAGAATAAGTTTACCCTCATATAGAATCAGTTCGATAGCCTTTTCTACTGTAAGTATATAGATTTCATAGGAAAACACCATTGTACTTCAAGAGGTTGAAAAGGAGAAACCCAAAATGGAGACCCTGATGTTATTGATTAATTAGCCATATACTATTGGAGTTTGTATACTATTGGAGTTTGGTGTTGGTTCATTGATTTGAGGCCATTTTCGTAGCCTGATACACATCCAGAAAACTTTTTTTTATTAAGCTACTTTGAAAACTTAATAATGGTAAGGGTTTATGGGCTGCTTGGGTTAAATCTCTTACAGGTAATGTTGTTTCTGTTGTGTATAATTCCTTGGAATCTGTCCATATTACTTTTGATGTGAATTGTTGTGTACACGTTAAAAATGGATGCAGCTCCTTTTGGTATTCTAACTGGAGTGACTTATGCCCTATGTACCATTTTAAGAATGATATCCCCTATGCTATTGAGCATTTGACCGTTTCTGAAGCTATGGCTAATAATAACATTATCCTTCCAGTCCAACTGCCTACCCAGATATATTATTGACAGGATCCACGATATGAACATCCATTTTAGTGAAGAGAACGATACCCAAATTCGGAAACCCAACATGCAATTTCAGTTTTAATAGCTCCTATGATGTTATTAGGCCAAAAATGAGTCCTATTTCCAATGCCAAGTTTTTCTGGAATAATCGTACCCAAAAAAGATCATTTTTCTTATGGAGGCTCAACAACTGCCTTATTCCTTTCAAGGACAAACTCATCAATTTTGGTATCCATGGCCCTTTCAAGTGCCCTTTTTACAACAACAAGAACACTTTAGACCACTCTTTTTTGAATTGTCATTTTGCAAGAAGCATTTGGCACCATTTTGAAAGCTGTTTTAACTTGTGTCCCTCCATCAATGGCACCTTTAATAATTATATTACTAGATGGTATCTTGATTTCAAAAGCACTATAAAAGATTTCAATCATGTTCTGCCCAATACCATTACTTGGCACCTTTGGAAAATTCGAAACAAAACCATTTATGATAACAAAAAGGCCACCTTCCCTGAGGCGATAAATGCTTTAAAGACTGAAATTTTTGCTATGTCAATTGCCAAACCGTTCGCCACAAATGAGCATGCTGGCCCTTTCAATATTTTCACCGCCCCTACCAATAAAAAAGACAAGAGACCTGCTATTACTGTCTAGACCAAACCTCCCTCTAGCTACTGCAAGATTAACATAGCTTCCCGCATTTTAAAACCCGGCCTTGTTCGGTCCGCTGCCATTGTCAGAAATAACCAGGGCAACTACATGGGTCATGCTACCCATCTTGCGAACCACGGCCAACCTACTAATACTTTATATGATGCTATTGATTATATTATCCCTCTCCTGTGCGAAATTAACTGTTGTAATTTTATTTTCAAGGTTGATCATAAAGATGTCTATGAAGGACTCTCAGGGCTATCACTCCAGCATTGGCAATTCTGGCCACGTATTCAAAGTATCCGGGCAAAGCTAAAAAATGTCAACTACATAGTTACCCATGTCAACCCGAAGATCAATAGTGCGGCAGAATTCTTAGCCTATAAAAAGCATGTCTATTAAAACCACCACTCATGATTTTAATCATTTTGTAGGCATTCTCAAGTTTGATGCTATTAGTTTTCCTTATATTATTTGATCTCTTGTTTTCAAGTAGGCATCGGTTTGGTCCTCCTACTCTTTGTAATCCTTTCTTCATTTAATAATTGGCGTGGTGTTCCCTGGCCCTGCCTCATAACCTTAGGATTTTGGACTTAAGCCAGGATTAAAAAAAGAGGTGGGAAGGCTATTTCTTATAGTGGTAATAAAGTTTTTATTAGGCATGGCCTCAGAGATCACTAAGTGCTCTATATCAGCAGGGATATTATTATGAAAAATGTACAGGGGGCCAAGGTCACAACAACTATCAAACCAAAAAGAACTACAAATATTATTCACCTTAATACAGGTATTAGATTCAGTACTATTGCTCCTGGACCTGTTTGGCATCGTTGCTTGGGACATTGTGGAAGTCTCATTTTAGATACTATTAAGAAGTCTAGCTCCATTTTAGTACATCTTCCTTTTCTCATGATTGCATTTCTTGTCGGTTAGGAAAATCACAACGATGACCTTTTCAAGAAGTTTGGCATAAATCTACTTCACCATTTTTTTTAAATTCATTCTGATATGTGGCAATCTCCTACATTTTTTGAGTCTAGCTTCAAATATTATGTTCGATATTTATAGATGATTTTTCTTAGTTTACTTGACTATATCCCATGCGCCTTAAAAGTGAAGTCATGCGCCACTTGCAACATTTTAAATTAGTGGTGGGAAATTTATTTACTTCTAAAATTAAAAAATTTCAAAGTGATGACAGGGGTGAGTAGTTTGAAAATCATGGTATGCATGACTTATTTTCGAAAAAATGACATTTTATTTCGCAAATCTTGTCCTGTTAAGCCTAACAAAATGGAGTTGTTGAAAGAAGACATCGTCATCTATTTGAATAAGCTCACACTATGCTTTTTGAAGCAAAAATGCAGGCCAAATTTTGGGTAGATATCTATAATATTAATCGTCTATTTGAATTAGCTCCCACAATGTTGTGTTCACTGCTATCTATAATATTAATCGTCTCCCTTCTCCAAATTTAAATGGTTTGTCACCTTTTGGAAAACATTTTAATTATCCACCAGACTTCTCTTTTATGCCCATTTTAAGGTGTGCATGTTTTTCAAATTTTAATTCCACATTTGGCAATAAGTTATCCCCAAGATCTGTGTTGTGTGTAGTTTTAGGCTATATGCTCCTGAGTATAAAAGATATCCTTGTTTAAATCCTCTTGATGACAAGATTTACATTAATCGTAATGTTCGATTTTATGAAAATTATTTTCCATTCTTTGAGTTAATTTCTACTGAGCCAACTTCATCTAGCTTAGCAATGTGCTACTACCATGGTTACCATCCATTGTCACCGTGACGAGCCCGAGCCTGAAACTGAGCCCGAGCCCAAAGCCCGAGCACACTGAAGGTGCGCATGTATGTCTTGTTATCACATAGGGAAGTTTGGGCTCATTAGCAAGATCATGGGAGAGACACCTAGAAATAATACATTGCCCCACAACTAAGAAAATGTTGTAGTATTTCAAAAATTCTGCACAAACACACACCTCACAAATTATCAATAATGAGCTTGATTTGAATTCAAATGGGAGATGCAAATAGGGTTAAACCACACTGATAAATGGAGTAGAAGGTGTACTGGGCTAGCTACTAGATCGGGTGGTAGTTATTCATTATTATTTGTATAAAAAAGCCATTTGAGACTAATATGTTAACACAGGTTAATTTTTTGAACTTCGCTCCAACTATGTATTGTGAGGTAATTCTTAGTTTTTCGTGTGGGGAGCCCCGCGCCAACAATTTGCTTCAGAACCAGATAATAATTGTGATCAATTTTGATCATTTTAATCAGTACTTATAAACACATTATTATTGTTTTGTCTCATGGGGAAAAGCTTAAATATTTGTGAATTTGAACGTTTTAGATTCTTTATTTTCAGGAATTTTCCCTTTCAAATATTTGATAAACTTTTATAATTGAACAATTCAATGATAAAATCTAATTTATTTTTATCATTGTCTAAACTCAGAGTATAGCATATCTAAATGTTGTATACGGAGTATGTGCTAATGGAAATTCTTTTATGAATAAAAATAGTTAAAATTAATCCTACAGCTAGAACAAATTGCCACCTTGACCTTAAATTCGCCAATATTGTGTTTGTTTTTCATGGATGATTTGCACATAACACTTGATATTTATATATTACGTAGTACACTATACTCAAAACTAAGTTAAATGGGGCTTGGATCTATTCACTTGTCAACAACGTTCATTCAGCATACATGGTATGTACACACAACAGAATGAAGCTAGCTAAGTAGTTGTTTGTTTCTTTTAACAAAACAAAATAATTTAAATCCTTGCGGCATGCATGAGTTGTCCAAATTAAACGTACAGATGTAGTTGCTAGGTAGACATGTTGCAGTTGGGATGGAGCATAGGCAAGCTTGGGTAAGCAGTCGTGGATGGATCACACGTGTTGAGGTGCAGGCCGAAGCCTGACATTCAGTCTTCTAAGCCATGCGGAATGAAGAATCATGTGGAAAACGTCATACCTTTTGGGAGGATGGTTGACCTCAAAATGCCGTCTCGCCAATCTCCCCCTTCTCTGCAACCTTATATACTGAGGCTGTGAGATCCCCTCGAGAATCTGCTTCAAGTTTGGGATGTCCTCCACTCGGACATGAACCGAAAACGCCTTCCAGTTGAGGACGTCAGCAAAGGGTGCAACATAGTGGTCCTTAATGAGCACAGGGACACAACCGGTGTAAAGGGCCTCCACCATTCTGGGACTTGCGACCTCGTACCCGCTGGGGCAGATGCAGAACTTGCTCTTTCTTAGCATCCCATAGTACGAAACGCCCTTGGGCAGGTACCTGTGAACTTGAATGTCTTCGTCTTTGTTCTCCCAATGCTCTAGGATTTTTGGCCTTATTGGACCGTGAAGCCCTCCCGCAAAGAAGGCCAGAATTGAGCGGCGTGATGGGGAGGGACCACCTATTAGGCCGTGCATTGTACCTCCTGGCAGAAGGATCTCTGGGATCGACACGTCTTTCCAAGGGCGAAATCCTTCCGAAGTGTTGGCGTTGCATAGACCTCGGATTGAGTTTTGAAACAACTCGGGAATGGCCTTTGAGATTTCAGGACCCTGCAGCACCAGTAACATGCAGTCCCACGATTAATTATTACTGCTAGAATACTAGGATAACACATTTTCTAAAAAAATAAGACTTATTCACTCTTAGTTAAGTGCTGGGAAATGAAGTTTGTATCCCTTATTCTTTTAATAGGACTGAATAAGTCAGTATATAGCTGGCCTTATTTTTTAACTTCTGTTTTTTTTCCTGGAGAGACCCGACCCGCGAGGTGGTCCGGGGTGGGGGCCAGGGAACACCCCACCAATTTATTAAATTCAAAAGGTTAAACATAGTAGGAGCTGAGGGCCAAACCAAAGCCTACTCGGTCGGGTATGCAATGTTGATGGAAATTAAAGTTAAAGTCGTTATATTAAACGTGGCGGGACGGGCACAATGAATTGGATGTGATGAGGACTTACCCAATCATGGCATGCGAGCATGAAATGATCAGCTCCTGAGCTTCTATTCCAGTAAGGATATTTGCTGGCTAGGAGATGAATGTAGTCGCTGAGGGTTCGTTTCATGGGAAGCCAGTGCTCCCTACTGCGTGATGTTCTGTCGTAGATAAAGTGGACAATAGCTGTGACACTTAGCGGGAGGAAGTAAATGTGTGCCTTGTCTGGATCTCTTGTCCGAAATGGGCTACTCTCCATCTGGTAAATGAAATTTCCTTCCATTGCATATATACTTTTGCAAGGCCCGTTGTGAAAAACCGGCGGCTCCCCTTCTTCATACACATATATCTTCAACTCTTTCTCCATTTCCATGTAACTCCTGATCGATCCATCACCAATGCACATGCAACAGTAGTCATCACAAAATGTTAATCCGATATAATAATTCTCACGAGTCCGTATTTAATTGCTAGCTGCTTCAAGGCTCAGCATGCATGCATATCAGGTACTCCGTATTAATTTAACCATGCTGCATGCAAAGTTAGTTGTTGAATTCCAAAATATGACTATCATGTTTTTATTCCCTAAATACGAGTAATTACTGCCAAGTTTAAAAATATTGTCATGTTTAAAGTCTAATTCTGTCAAAACATGACAGTAATTACTCATATTTTGACAATACAAACATATATGGTAGTCCTATTTTAGAATTACAAATCCTTTTTACTCCTATTTATATTAGGACAATCTCCCATTTATCTATGTCAAAAAGAAATTGTATATGTGCATGCAAGAGTAGTATACATGATGATCTAGCTTTTTCATTGATCACAGATGGACAATTATATTGATTGATGTCTAGTTACATTTTGAAAGAACATGGTTATATTACTTAGTCAACAAGGATTCAGGCGACCACCCCCTTTGACTTTCAAAATTCTCCATTATATGTGTAGTATTTTCATATAACTTTCATACTTTCATCAAATATATATATGTGTTCGATCACACTCTTAAAATTTAGTTTTTAGAAATGAATTCATAATCATACATAGGACATGTTATACTTACAACTTAATGAACTTAATGAGAACTGCAACTTAATCATTTAACTATATAGTGTTGTTTACTTACGACTTTATTTTAAATGTGTCTTATTCGCTCTACGTTTTATGACTTATTCGCTCAACTTAATTTTGACACTAGCATTATTACGTATGCTTGTGTAAGGACGGCCTTCTTTAACCCAGACTTCTGCTTTCAAATATTTCATCGCATAAAGTCTGGCGATAAACCTACACGTGATAAACCTACAACAATCATCGACGGGAGGTAGAGCTATCACGAGGGCAGTAGCGAAAAGGAATCTCATCCCCTACCTTCTTCATCTTGATGTATCCTCTGATCTCATTGATAGGGACCCATTAGTATAATAATGCTAATAATAATAGAAGTATAATAAATAATTGTGATGTTGTAGTAAAGGGTCCTGGGCTAGGTATTAGTTAATATTGGGCTGACCCATAAGTAGTATAAATAGTAGGGAGGGAGAAATAAGAAGGCAGACAGATTTTAGAATCGGGACTTGGGTTTTGGAGAGTGAGTGCCTCTCGAAGTGCCTCAATTGTAATTCTTCTTCTTTCTGCAGTTGATATCAGTAATAATAATCAAATTACTGTTAAGAA